GTAAATGAGTTTACAAGAAAAAGGTCGATGTGGATGGAAACGTCCATACATACAAAGCAAGGCTAGTAGCGAAGGGTTACACACAAAGACAAGGCATTGACTTTGATGAAACTTTTTCGCCTGTAGCCATGCTAAAGTCCATTCAGATTTTGCTTGCAATATCTGCATTCAATGATTATGAGATATGGTAAATGGATATCAAAACTACTTTCCTTAATGGAAACTTACAAGAGGAGGTGTACATGACACAGCCTGAAGATTTTGAATCCAAAGGAGCCAACAAAGTATGTAAGCTAAATCGATCCATTTATGGATTAAAGCAAGCCTCTAGGAGCTGGAATCTTCGTTTTGATGAGACAATCAAAAGGTTTGATTTTATCAAAAATGAAGATGAACCGTGTGTTTACAAGAAGACAAGTGGGAGCGCGGTCATATTCCTAATATTATATGTCGATAGCATATTATTAATGGGAAACGACATCCCAATACCTCAATTGATAAAATTATAGTTGTCAAAGAATTTCTCCATAAAAGATATGGGAGAAGTAGCGTATATCTTGGGAATCAAGATCTATAGAGATAGATCTAAAAGATTACTAGACTTATTCCAATCTTCGTATATAGATAAAATCTTGAGAATATTTAATATGGAAGAGTCTAAAAGAGGTTTATGTCCCATGTCACATGAGATTTACCTCTCAAAAGACATGTGTCTTAAAACACATGATGAAAGGAGTCGCATGGATAAGATTCCTTATGCTTCGGCGATAGGATCTATCATGTATGTGATGCTATGTACGAGACCAGATGTTTCATATACTCTAAGTGTTATGAGCAGGTTTCAAGCAAACCCTGGTGAAAAATACTGGATAGCGGTTAAGAACATTCTTAAGTACTTAAGAAAGACTAAAGATGTGTTCTTGATCTATGGAGGAAATGAACAGAAAATTCATGGGTATACTGATACCAGCTTTCAAACTGACAAAGATGATAGCAAGTCTCAATCAGGATATATGTTTACTCTCAAGAATAGAGCGATTAGTTGGAAAAGTTCGAAACGGGAGACAATCGCTGATTCAACAACAGAAGCCGAGTACATTGCTGCTTCTAAAGTAGCGAAGGAAGCTCTCTGGATCAAGAATTTCATTAATGAACTTGGAGTCATTCTTAGCATTGTTGATCCAGTGAAGTTATCTATTCGGGAGAGTAATGCTAAGTACAAGACTCAGGCAGATGACTATCATCGTCAGGTTCTTTTTTATGTTGGTGATTTTGTTTAGGCAGTATTAACTCGTGATCGTTTTTCAACTGGGGAGCACAATAAGCTTAAAGAGCGGAAGATTGGACTGTGTGAGATGCTACAGAAGATCAATGATAATGTTTACAGGTTGCTCTTTCCCAGCCATTTGAAGACTTCCAATGTCTTGAATGTAAATCATCTAAATCCATGTTTTGTGGAGTCTGATGAAGCCAATGTGAACTTAAGGGCGAGTTCTTTCCAACTTGGGGCGATTGATGTAGGAGGTTTCGAATCAAGTGAGGCTGAGATGTCAGATAGCACATTGATGGCGTTGGGATGCCATAAGATGGCGGATCGGCACAAAGATGGAAGGTGATTACAAAACTTTCCTTAATTAGGGCAATTTAGACACGTATTGTTAATTTGGCCATAACTTTGGCTACGGTTATTAGAATTGCCATTGTGACCCCAATCCGAAAAACTCTTTTTGGCGCGCAGATCATGGTCATGCTCGATGGCAATCAATTTCGAGGCCCAAATTCACTGTTTTCCCCTTTGAATTTCAATTTTTAGTTATTTTTTCCCATTTATGGTAAGGTTTCGTTTGCCTTTTTCTAGTTGATTTCAAATCCAATTTGAGCCAAATTTTTGAAAGTTACTTTTTTTATTCCATATTTTATTTTGGTGTGATTTTCGGGATTTTGCTATTTTTGGTAAGATTTCCATGATTTCGTATCTTTTCAGCTATTTAACCCGGCTTGTGGGTTAATTTTTCGTATTCGACGTTTAGTAAAGTTAAGATGAATTTCAGAGAATTCTCTGTCTCTTGGGCGTTTTTCCTTTGTATTCTTCCTGTGAATTATTTGTTACAACTAGCTTGCATGATAATCACTATTATGTCTGGCGTCAGTCGATAAACCAAAAGGGTTTGGGTCTTAGTCAATAAACCAAAAGGGCAGGTTATTGATTATAAATGGGTTTATAAGATAAAGAAGGTGATTCAAAAGATGAAAATATAAGGTTCAAGGCCAAATTAGTTGCTAAGGATTTTAACAAAAAAGCGGGAATTGACTGCAATGAAATTTTATCTCCTATAGTCAAAAACACCTCTATAAGAATCTTACTTTCTCTTGGTAATTATTTCAACAAGAACACGTACATATGAACACATACATGATCTTGTTGAATACAGAGTAATCAATTTTATGCTTTCGATGAACGACACAATATTCTTCTAAAATATTCATATTCATAATGCGTACTTCTTTTCAATCTATATAATATTTTAATAAATATTGATATTTAAGATTGCGTTCTACAAGGAACAACAATGTACTCTTCAACTCAAATATTTAATCTAATATAAAGTTCATTCTGCAAGAGCAACGACATATTACACATCTTAAGTTTCTTTATTATCAAAATTACATCATTAAAACTATTATAGTCGATTATCAGCCTTTTCTTGAAAGAGAATTTTTTTTCTTCCTCATTAGCTAAATATTTGAGTTGATAATATATTTTAAAACTAAATGAAAAAGAAAGAACAATTGAAGAAAAAAAGAGTCTAAACTCATAACAATATCATCTTGATAACACAATATCTCTTTATGATTTATAATAACTTAACTAAAGCATGGACCTTGGATTTGGTGATTACTTCAATAATAACAATCTCTTTTGTGTGTGTGTGTGTATATATATCATCTTGATAACACAATGTCTCTTTATGATTTATAATAACTTAAATAAAGCATGGACCTTGGATTTGGTGATTACTTCAATATTAACAATCTCTTTTGTATTCCCGTTAATTTTATGAGCATACAATTAAGTAGCCATATCCTAAAAATCTGTGAGCATCCTAATGTTGAATAAAATATAACGAAATAAACTATGAAAATGGAACTAAAAAGGAGCCGACTAATAAACCAACTATAGGCTTCCTAGTACATGTTTCTTGCCTGTGAAAGCTTGAAATTTTTGCTCTTTTCTCTCTTCGAGTTTGAAGCCATTCCTCGAGTCATCTGATAATCTCTCCAAGCCGTTGGAGCCAAAAACAAGCTTTCCAGATTTCTTGCCGCCAACACTGGTGGTTGACGCCGAAACCGCACCTGATCCGCTGGAGCTGCCACCGGTGGTCGGCGCATTGTTCTCTTGAGTCTTGTTGCTAGCCACTTTACCGTCTACAGATTCCCCGTCCAAGCGTCTCCCCTTGCCTGTGAATGGCCTAAAATTTGTCTATTCTTCAGTCTCCTCCTCTTCTACTTTTTCTGGAGCGTTCTCTTTACTTTTTCAGGTTCTTTATAGTCAAGGGGAGCAGCAAAATCCACATCACAATCCATTTCTATGAGACAAATTGCAGGGCCAGGTTTACTTTCCAAAACATTTAAGTAAAACTTCTGGTCATTATGAGTGACCATTATGGTATTTCCGGTGCGCAAACAAGAAAAACTGCGCAGAGTTTTTTCAAGAACAGCTTTTGGGTTTGAGAGTTGGATGAACTTTGTTGAATGTGGCTGCAGTTTCATGAAATTTCCAGTCGGAAGTAAGGTGCTTTTGACCAGTACAAGCTCTTCTTCTTGTAAATTCAAGTTCTCCATCATCCGATCGGGCACCTTGATAAATCCCTCGTCCGCGGTGAATTCTGAGATGCCGCAGTGACAAACATGCCCTGGATTGTAATATGGTTTAATTTGAAACATATATGGATGCGGGATATTCCTGGCCATCAATGCATGAAGGGCTGATTCGGGCATCACAATTTTATCGCCACATTCGAGTTCAGATTTTTTGGATTTGGAGAAAGAAGTACAACAATATGTTTGCTTGAACCCGAGGTGACCCCTGGAAAATCTGTTGTCCATGTTAAGTAACTGAAAAAGAAAAACCTAGTCCCCGGAATTGAACAAAAAGCTACGATGAATTGCTTAGAGAGTGCTAATTCAGGTTTTGGAGTCTAGTTTTTGGTATATACAATTTCCTTTAAAATCCTGATTGCTTGAGATAGTTTTGGAATTATAGTGAAGTGTTTTATTGTGCGCTTGTATACATAGTACATATGATTACGCTCACAAGCCTCAAAGCTAAGGTCTTGAGTGAAGTTTAGTTTTCTAAAAGGTGAATTTGGTTGGATTTTGGACAGAAAAGTGGGGACATAATGAAACCGAGCACTAAAATGGAAGTTGATGCAGGGCGAGAAGAGGCCTAATGCAGGATTGTGGTTTGGATTTGTGATTATATAGAGTGTGCCAGTGTTTGGGTATCATCTTGACGCGAATGAGTGGTTTTATGTTTCAGTTCAGAGATCATCTATAGAAGCAAAAATTTGAGAAGATATCGCCTGTTCGACTGTTTTGGGGAATTTGATATTTATATATCTATTCCAATTCAAAATTTTCTCTGAAAGCTAGTAATGTATTGTTGACTAGCTCCTGAGAACTAATATTGTTGACAAATTCCTAAGAATTGCAGAAGCAGTTAAATAGGCAAACTCTTAATCTTTATTTTTTGATATTCACGTGAGCATCTGGTAACAATTTAGATTCTTGAATTAAAGAAAAAAAATTATTTTCCAGGTAATTATTACAGAAAACCGATGGACAAGAAATGTTGTCGACCTTCTACATTATTATTAGAAAACCAACAAATTCAAAATAAGAACAATTGTACAGAACAATTCTTAGTATAAAGAACTCCATTGACTATAATATGTAGACACAATCAACACAAAGAAAGCATCGAACACAGCAGAGAGAGTCAATGTGTTGACATCCATCTGTCCATGTGAAGTTCAAAGCTTCTTCTTCTGCTTCATAATCATAATTATTTCCAAATCCATTTTGCCATATGACGCTTAAGACATTTTCAACCTCATGGAGCGTTTCAAAAGTCTGCTAAACAAGATTGTATCGTATGACTTCACCGGGAATTTGCAAAACCAGGAAAGAATCTTCGTCCTTTTAGCTCCAAATCAGACAAAGAATGAACCAGAGGTAATACCAGTCCGTTGGGTTATGATAATTAGGGATCATTCCAGGAGAAGCAGTAACAAGTGGTGAAAGATCAAGCTCGTGTTGGAATGTGGAAGCAGAATTATCCAGAAATTAAAAAATTTATTTAATTCAAAAAATAATATCGTCTAGATATTCACGTGTATGTTATATAAAAAATAAAGGATTTGAATTTTTACCTAAATTCGATGATAAATTCTTGAATTTATTCTAAATCACGAACTTTCAGCTTTTTAATTCGAAGAACTTGATGTTTCAAACTTCCAAGTCTTCTATGATATTCTCCAAAGTCAAGACTTCATTGATAGGTATGTACCTTCTTTTAATTAAACCAAGAAACCAATTTTTGAACTGGACAATTGAAAAATCAAGAAAAGTAATTTTTTTTCTCTTTTTCTCTCTTCAAAATTTGAGCACCATGAAATTATGTATTATGAATATTGTACAATTCCATTATAGGATGTCTAGAATCCATCTAATCTCTATTTATAGAGATAGAAGAGTTTCAATCCTTATACAATAATAATTCCACATTCTAATAGGAATTCTAATTAAAATCCAAGTATGAGTTTTAATTAAAGTCCAAATTTAATTAGTTTACATTTAATTACGTGTACAGTCGTAGAACTTCAATTACAATTATAATCAAATTTACAACTTTCATGGTAATTACAACTAAGTAAAAAACTTTATTGTAATTACAATTAAACCCAAAACTATTATAATTACTGTAATTAAGTTCCAATATTTCATGCAGTTATCATAGGGACCTGATCAGACATATATTATCCAAGCTCCAATAATTAGATCATGTCTAGTCGACCCTAAACCAGCAATCTAATTATTAGTTTTTGTTTTTTCCACTAAAAGCAAAAGACTGAACTCTTGGAATATATAAGATCACAGAAGACAATAAATATGTAATACTTTCCTCTAACCCGATGTATATGTATTTTATCCCCATCCGAAATTCGATAATTAGGTACAAGCATAATGACCGTTTTGCCCCTCTAATTATTCTCACCAACTTAAGTTTCTTTTTCTTCAACGGTCCTATGAACTAATCACAAATGTCGAAATTTAGCCGTCGCTAAACACTGAGCCCAGGTTTTAACTGTTCAATAGAAAATACTTAAGTAGTCACTCTACCCATATTTTAGGGTGACGATTCCCGACACGAACTCATATTGTCTATTCCGCTCATTCTCAAGTTCCTAACTCATCGAGATATTTGAACAATCAAATTGATCTCACATATTGATGAATCAAAGAACCATTAAAATCAAGAAAAGATATACATAATCCTGTCAAGAGATTTATATGAAATACACAGCGTCTAGTGGAACTTAATTCTCTGCACGGTCATGCTATAGAATTAAATTCGACACGGGTCTATTCAATACACTACAAGTGTACGAGTGTAACCTTTAACTATTTCTGTGATAAAGACAAATCACAAACCTGAATAGTTAATCGGTCAACACTACAACCTTCCACTGTAAGGTGTCAACTCTTATACATTGGTTGTGAACAAATTATTCTTAATCAAATTATAAGTTGTGTCACACTATACTTCTCAATGCAAGTACCCAACTTATATTATCTCAAGTGGGGACTCTAATCTGCATGCTCAATAATAAATAATGCAATAAATAAATAAAACCACAATTTATTTATTAGAAATGATTATTGTATCATAGCAAAATATACTAGATGGGCACACAACCCAACACCTCATACTTTACGAACCGTTCAGAATAGTCTCTTTTCATTTCTAGACATTGAACTGGGCTTGTAGACCTAATGTCCCATTATAATTTAGATGATCCAAGACTTCCCAAAATAATAATTGCCACTCGAAACCTATCAATATGGTATAGGTGGCTTAGGCATTGTTTTGAGCCTTTCCTCATCTACATTTAAATACAAACACTCAGCCGTCTCATTGCAGGTCCAATGAATTGAATGTTGATCCCAAAGGCGACACAAAGATTAAGATTAATGACGTTGTATGAAATATGTAACAAGACCACAAATATGGAAACACGTTTTAAAGTAAAGAAATCAAAGAAAGTTAAGTAGAGGAAACAATATTTTATTATAACAATATGGAGAGAAAATTACAGCACAGCAATATTTTGGCTTGAACTAAACCAAAAGAAAATGCCATTATTTATAGCTACATACTATACCATACCATAAAGATGGAAATAATATGGAATAAGGAAATAATATATTTCCAATAAAATCATGTGAAAATAAGGAAACAGCTTTTTCCACGTGAAAATAAAGAAACAATTTTTTTCTAATATGGGTTATAAACCCAACAATCTCCACCTTGACCCAAATTCCTGTGCAACGAACGAAACTTCAAAATTTCTCCACCTAAAAAAAATGTCCAACTATATCGAAATAACCAAACTCTTCAAAATAGTAACCAAAACTCTCCATAAAAAAACATCTTCCTCTGTCCGACGTCCACAAGCGACACCTAAACCTAACTCTTAAATTTTCGAAATTCCACCAAGGAATTACAATTAATCAAACAGGTTGAAGCACCCCCTGTAGTAGAAACCACACCAAATACCTGATCAAAAAGCCCCTTGCCAAAATTGTTACCTTCAACGATCTCGAAAGATGTACTGTACCAATTGAATATCCACCAGGTACTGAACCTGCCTGATGTCTCTTAACTGGTTCTGCGCTTTCCTGCAAAATGTACAACTGAAACTTCTTCCATCCTTCCAGTACAACTCGAACATCCCTTCGGACCTTCAAGATTCTACCTCCACCAAAGAAATAATGACCTTTTGCATCCAAGGTATTCGGCGAGATAAGATTCTTTTTCAGGTATGAAACATGTCGAACCTAATCAATTGTTTTAACTGTCCCATCCTGCAATCTTACTCCGACTTGATCAATTCCAACAACATGGCAAGACTGATTATTTTTCATTACAACTCCACCTTGATTGATAGCCTCATATGTTTAAAAGAAATGTCGATTGGAACACATATGATGCTAACATGCCGAATCGAGAATCCATTTCTTGTCAAATTTAGACTCTACGTCAAATATCACGGTCAACATCACATCACTGCCATTCGAAAAATCCTCGCTAACATTAGTCTTGTCCGAATTGCATGATTCCTTCCTATAATTTATAGTTAAATTACCTTTAAAGTGCAACTTATCGCAATCTTTCTTAACGTGTCCTTTCCTCCTGCAGCAGAAGCAGTACAAATTGTTGAAGTTTGCCCTCGATCCACCCCTCCATTGATCACCATGAGATACAGAGCTTCATCATCCCTCGATGTAGCTCCACCCAATGCATCATCTTCTCCTTTGAAAATAGAGCATTGTAGACATCCTCAATGGTCAAAGTATCACAATTGTACAGGATGGTGTCCTGAAACAACGAATAAGAAGCGAATAGTGAACACAACAGGATCAAGGCTAGATCCTCCTCATAGTACTTAACCTCTAATGTTTCTTAATCTGCAATTGTTTCCTTGAACACAATAATGTGATTTTCCAGTGACCCTCCTTCTGCTATGCGATAGGAATATAGCTTTTGCTTTAGAGCTAGTTTACTAGTGAAAATTTTAGTTAAGCATAACTGCTACAGTTTCCACCACAAAGCAGTCTCTATTTTCTCCTTCAAGACATCCTACAATATATTATTAGATAAAAAAAGATGTATTTGCGATAAAGCCTTTCAATCCCTCCATTATTTCTATTCCATTGTCCAATTAGTTGGCATCTTCTCAAAATCCAGCTACGTATTGTCCAAATCCAACTGTGCCAGAATAGCCCTCATCTTTACTTGCTACAAAGAAAACCTTGTATTGCGA